GCACCCAAAAAAGTGGATACTTGATTTGAGTACGGTACTTGACAAGTTGAGGCCCAGGACTTGGTTTAAGAATTTCTTTAGGTCAAATTGAGTAAAATATTCTCAAAACAAGTACCTGTCCTCAACTTGTCAAGCACCGGAACTCAAATCAAGTATCCACTTTTCTGGGAGCGAGGGAAGAGGGGAAAGAGGGAGAGGAATAGAGAACCAGAACAGGGTGAGAAAGTTGCGCGGGAACCCCCGTGTTGACTGGTGTTGACTGTAGGTTTTCCTCACAGTGAACAGCAGCTAATTTGTCACGGCACCGGTGGCTTGTCGCAGGCCCGATCTGTTATTCACTAAAAGGCGGTTGACTGTGTTTTGATTAATTATACCGCTAATGTGCGCCACCAGCGCCGCTGTCGACCCGACGACATACCACTATCACCAAAAACGACGACAGACCTCGCTTCCTCACCAATAATGCCAATCGCGTAGTAAAGAAAATGGCTCTGACAAGTAACCTGGGCAGTTAAAGTTACGAGTGACAAATTCAAACTAAAGTAGTGTCACTGCGAAGGATTCCGATCGATGTTAATGCAGCTGTTGATGTGCTGCGCTAGATAATTTATAGCGGCGACGACAATGAAAAATAATAATAAAAACAAGACAAGATTCTGTTTCACGCCCGAACAATATGGAGTGGCGTGCTCGCGTGATTTGAGATAACGACAAACGAGATTCGGGAAATGACACGCGAGCGAAGCGCAGCTGAAGGCTAGAAATGCATCACGAGAGTTTCTGTGATCACTATACATGAAAACTGATAGTATTTTTTTTTTACCAGGCCGATTACATGAGTTGTAATTAAACATGTTACTGATTGGCACCGAAAACTAGAATTTTTTGTGAGGAAATATCGTAGAACCCAGACAGAATTCAAATTATTATCATTATTAAATATTGTTCTTAACATGAACTTTTAACATGAGCTTTTAAAGTGAGCATGTCATTTCAGACACCTAAAAATTATGTTGACTGCAAAACATTTTTCGTCCAAAAATACAAGAAATTTATTTCAGGGAAATTGTAAACGGTAGGTCTTCGTCCGCGTATGATAGAATGTGGGAGATGGGAGACCGAGAATACCATATATAAAACTGCATCAGCACGAATCCGGGTCACGTACTTTGCAGTAGTTGGTGAAATCTCTTTCGCATGTGCCAGGAGGGCCGGGAGCCTATCTGGTGCTATTCTGCTGCTGCAGGAGCACTAGCCGAGGCACCTCTTGAAGACTGTTATTGCTGCCATACGTGCCTCCGCTCACTTACTTCGACAATACGTTATTCAAAATTTAAAAAACAAAAACAAAACAACAACAACAACAATTCCAAAGAGCAAGAAATCAAAACAGAGTTTCTGTATTTAAAAATACCTTACATCATAGTTTAAAGAAGTACACATTAGTTGAATTACAATGCGTACTGTGAGGTCACGTGCAATGAAGCGTCAGTCGTGTCACATTCTTTTGAACGTGACATGGCTAGCATGCCATGCGCATGCACATAGCCTCTGACTGTGTGGGCGGAGGCAGGTGGCAAGGGTAAGTCACCTTCTAATGCATGTTCGAGTGTTGCAATCATGACATTCTGAGCAATTCGCCACAAGTCACATTTGGTAGCAGATGACGTCACTATGGGTTGCCACGACCTCCGGTAGATAAGGGCCTAGTAAATTAAACGCGGTTCCGGCAGGATCAAAAACCGTGGGCCGATAAAGGCCTTGTGGTTAGCCAAGTCAATAGGATGTTTAGATGCGCTCCAAATCTAGGGGTTAGCCTGGGTTAGCATACTCCCATCGCCCGTATGTCACTATGGCCTCTCCTTGTGTTAAGGCCCCACGGATTTTAATATTCTTTACACATTTATGTTTATCCCACTTAAAATTTACACTACCTGGCGAAAGTCCATACGAAGAATGCAAACTATCATTTAGTAGAAAGTAGGAAATTCCTAGCTTTTGCTAAAAAGTAACACTGATTTGTTTATCGGCACATGAGTTGCTGTCAGTCATCTGACCCTCGCCCGGCGGCACTACCCTCGGCATAACCGTGGGAGCGCGGAGCTGTGAGGTATCATCAGCACTGTGATGGGGGCTCGTTGAGTATAGCGGGGTTCTGCCAAAGGTCGAAGACGTGTTCGGATCAATTTGGCGAGAGTTGGGCGCGAGCCGGGTTATGGCCTGCACCCACCAAAACAATGTGAATTGTACACTGGAAACGTGAATCATAGAAGTCTTCTTCGCAACAAGTCATTTAAACGTCGCACCCTTCTAGTTTTCGACATAGCTGTATTTGTAGAACAAGTTGTTAAAATTTGAACCGGATCGCATAAAAAATGGAGAGAGATGTACGCGCAATGTGCTGAAATGTGTTAGGGAGAAGCATATCTAAGATATCTTACCATATGGTGCCTCCAACGGTCGAAAGGGGAAATGTAACAGACCACATAGAAAAAAAAAAGGAAAAAAAAAAAAAGACTTTCTTGTGGAGATCAACTCCACTCAAATTGTTTGATAGTCTAAATTTGTTAGCAGGAATCGAGAATCCGATAACCACGACCAACGACCAGGTCTTGGTTCTTGGTTGTCACGACCGGACACTTGTACGAATAGAACAAACTCCGGCTTGACTCGCATGAACGCGTGCGGGCGGGTTGGCTACTCGCACGGGTCCATAAGCAGCCTTGGGCAGCGAGGATAGGCAAACCCACTCGCACCAGTGCGCGGCGTGGCTCTCAAAACCCAAGTGTGTACTTGAATGCAGTGAGGTCCTGTGTACTTGCCAAGTATGCAGGAGCTAGTGTGTACTAGCTAGTGTAGTGTGTACAAGTACACACTACCTCCTGCACAAATGTGTGGAGGTTTTCGTGAGTACTTGATCAAGTACAAACTATCTCCTGCATACGTGACGAAGTACACAGGACCTCCTGCATACTTGACCAAGTACACAGGACCTCCTGCATACTTGACCGAGTACACAGGACCTCTTGCATACATGTAGGTATGCAGGATGTAATGCATTCAAGTTCAAGTACACACAATTGGGTTTCCAGAGTAGTCAGCCACCTGGTATCACTAGCTCGCATCCAAGATCGAAAAATCCATTTGCAGGTGTTCTTTTCTAGCAACGCCCGGCAGTGTGCCTGGGCTGCGCGGCAGAGGAGCCCGTACCGCCGCACCAGAGGTCAAATTATTGAAGCAAAACAAGAACTACAGTTTTTCTATGGTACGGTCATGTGGTCCATGCACAGATTATTTGTGAACATTTTAAAGCAGATAGAATATTTTTGTACATTGCGAAAGTGGTGCAATGGACCAACGCCCACACCAACACGCGGCACCGAGCCAAAGGGGTGCGTGCGAGCAGGCGCAGCTCCTCCACCTTTCTATTCACGTACACATTGCGCCGCGTGACCGCCACATTCACATTCGCCCGCGACCCAAACAGCCCCGATATTTCTCATCCCAAAGCGGGCGATGAGACCGAGCCGGTGCCGGCCCAAAATGGCGGTGGTGCAGCGGTCGGGGGGAGTGGCCTCGCGCCGCGGCCCGGCCAATGGGGGCGCGGCGGTGCCTGGCGGGGCCCGGCGGGGCGGAGCGCACCGCGCCGCTGGCGCCCCCTGCGCGGCCGCCGCCCGCAACACACGCACGATATGAATTGCATTTGAGCGGCCGTAGCCGCCGCAGCCGCGCCGCGTTTTTCTCTTGTTTCCCCTCCTTTTCCCTCTGCTCTGCTCCGCTCAGTCTGCCGCTCGCTCTCCGACGCGCGCGCGATTCCCTCTGCTCCCCTTCCCCTCGCCTCCGCCCCGCCCCCCGCCGACGCCCCCCGGCACGGCCCGGCCCGGGCGGCCCCCGGGCGCGGCGGCGGCGGCGGGGGCTCCGGGCCGCGCCGGTGTGGCAGGCCGAGGGGATTCGCTCGTCAGTGAGAAGTGAGCGCTGCACAGCGAGTGTGTCAACGCGTGTCAGGTCGTGTGTGCGGCAACGGCAGCGCGCCGGGGCCGGGCGCGAGCGTGCGCGAGTGACTGTGTGTGTGTGTGTGTGACTGTGTGGGTGTGGCAGCGCAGAGGAGTACCGTCACCGCTGGACCCGCGGGGAGGAGGCGGCCGACGCACCGCATGACAACAACGTAAGGAAGGAGCAGCGACACCTGTGTCAAGTTTTGTCACGTGTGACGGGGGCGGCCTCGCATACCTAGTCACGTGTGATGTGACGAGCAGGGCGTGGTGGCGCGACGGCGTGGCATACCCCGTCACGTCGCACACGTCTCATGCGATGTGACGGGCGCACTTTTGCTGGAGCCTACAAGCAAATATATTGTGTGGGTCGAGGTGTAGAGGTGTGGGTCCAACTCGTCACTGCAAGCAGTTGTCTGGACAAATTGTCAGCCTTCAAGACAGTTTCAGCAGTGCGTATTTCAATAAAAATTAAGATCAGCACCGGGACTGGTTTGAAAATAACGGCCAAAACCAGTGCAAATGAACTTTGACAGTTGGAAGGGAGCTACTCGACGTGCACTGTTAAACACGTTATTTGTGACCACTATGAGGTCACGCTTTGCTGGGTTTTTCAGCCATTAAGATGCAAAGCCAAAAGGAACGCGTTCATAGGAAAAATCAGCGAACTTTTCGTTCTGGTTCCGGTCTTGATTTCCTCACTTCTTCTCAAAACGCGTAGAGCCGAAACCGTCTGTTGTAAAAAACTAATAAAAATAATATTCCAATGTTTCAAAGCAACCTGAACTAGAGCGTTGCTAAAGAAAATGGTCCATTCGGCTCAGTGTCATGTCAGTAGTCCACAGGAAAGATGTGCTGCCATAAAAAAACCGGTGAACTGAAGTAGTTCGAGTGGGGCAGCAAAAGGGCGGGGCACTCGTTCCTGGCGGGGGCGGGCGGGGTCGAGTCGAGTAAATGAGACGGGCCGAAGCACGCGTCTGTTTGGTCCTCATTACCGGCCCATTACACACACACACGCGTGGTGTGCCGCGGCCGCCACTGGACCGTAAACCATCGCGCCGCCACCGCCACCCTTCGAGGGCCTCGCGCCGCGGCCCCCGGCCGCCCCCGGCCGCCCCCCGCGGGGCCGCCGCCGGGGCGCGCCCTCCATTAGGCCCTTGATGGGCGCGGCGGCGCGGCGCGGGGGGCGGCCGGAGGTCACGACGCGAGTCACGACCGCTACAGATGGATAGGTAGATATCGAGGTGATGTTTTGGAGGGGCCGCTCTTTACGAAAATGAAACGGTTTTGACGAAACAGCAGTACCCGCGCCAGGCCAGCCCGCAGCACCGCCGCGCCCGCTGGGACTATGGGCAATTACCGCGGCATTGTTTGGCTTATTCAACCCTCGCTCCCCGCCATGGCGCGCCACCGGCCGACTGCCTTTCCGCTTTCTTAATAACCCTTTTGGTACAGTACGCCACTCCACACTCCACGCCCCCTGCCCGCCCAGGCCCGGCCCGGCGGCGGCTCCGTCCACTAGGGGGAAGCGGGGCGACACGAACCGGAGGTTCCCTTGGTGAACATCGGCAAAAAATAAAAAAAAAATAAAAAAAAAATCATTTTGTTTTTGTAATGTCATGCCACTATGTATGTCCTGGAAAGGGCAGCAGTGAGTCCTGGAAAATATCAGGAAAGGGGAGCAAATATCGACAAGTGCGTCCACTTTAGAAAGTCGCCACAGTTTCGGTCATGTATGCACGAGGCTGTCGGACGCGACCAGGCCGGTCCAAGCCGCTGCAGCAGAACGCTTGCTGGAGTCGGGCATTTATTTTATGGGGGAAATGGGCCCAACGCTCGGCAGGCCTTTTGTTCTCGCAAGGCGGTCGGCAGGGCGGCCAGAAGGGCGGCCCGCAAGGATGGGTCGCCAAAAGAGACGCCGACAGGGGCACCAAAAAGTGGACCAGCAGGGGAATCAACGGGCCGAGAAACAATGAGTTAGTTAAAATAAGGGTATATAACAGAGGGTCCTGTATAGAAGGCAAACAAGTTAGCTCACAGGACCCCCTAGGGCTAAAGGTGTCGCGACTCGCGACACCTTTAGTATCGAAGTAAACAGAGGGTAAAGGCGACAAGCAACTAGCAAGGTGGATATCAGGGCGGCCACCAAAGCGGTCAGCACGACGACCAGCGGGGCTCCTAGCCTAGGTAGGAGAGCGACCAGCAGGGCGACCAGCAGGGCAATCAACAGAGCAATCAGCAGCAGGGCGGTCAGCAGGGCGGTCAACAGGGTGGCTATGACAGCGACCAGCAGGGTGGCCAGGGCCAGCAGGGCGGTCAACAAGGCAACCAGCAGCAGGGCAGCCAGCAGGGCGACCAGGTGCAGCAATAAAGCCGGGGCGGCGACGGAGGGAGAAAGCAGGCCGCGTCGTCTCCTTGTTGTTGAACACGACAGCAGGAGAAGCTAATGCCCGTCTGCCGGGTCTTTAGGCCCCATGATTAATTCCCCGGCCAATCAACGGCGCGCACTTTGCATATCGTCACGGCGGGGACAGTGCCCCCCCCCCCACCACCACCACTACCACGCCTGCCCACGCCCGCGTCAGTATGCGAAGTTGGTTGGGTGACTGTCTAAGTCTGGAACGCAATAAAGCGTTAGCTTCGCGCCATCCGTCCGAGTCGACTGGTCATCGTGCAAATGCACCCCGTCGCGCGTAGACATTCGCCTAAGCCAGAGTCCTCCTCAAAGTTTTTAACCTTCAATTATGACAAACTTGTTGTTTTGTAAAGTCCCCCTGCCGCCAAGCCGCGCTGTTGATGGTGTCGGTCACCGCGGTGCGGCGCGCGGCGTGTTCGGAACCGAGGGGAGGGAGAGGAGGGAGGGCAGGGAGGGAAAGAGAGGGGAAAGGAGGGGCAGCGGGTCTGACCGCACCGATTCGCTGCGGTGGAGTCGCCCGAGGGCTTCCCTTTGGTCGGGCTTCGGATTGTGGGCACAGCCGAAGGGCACAGCCGCCGGGCAGAGGGTACATATTGTCAACAGAGAATATTGTCCCATAGCGTCCTCCTCGCCGCAAAACTGGTCACAAACTTTAAACGACATCGGTGTTTCTTATACCCATTTTGCTCTTTTAACAAAAAAAATATGCCTGTAGAACTAAGCATTTTACTGAAGCAACTTAAAAAAATGGAACATTGGCTGAGTTATATTCTTTGGACAGGACCCTAACTTTTGCAATCAAAACTTGAAAAAATACATTGCTTGTCACGCGTCACCACGGTTGCAATAACTTTCCCACAGAGTACGACTGCGACAGTGCGACATGGGTGTAGGAGACATGCAGCGGCCGCTGCCGGGAGTGAATTAGAGCAATTTGTTGTCCACAAACATCGCGCACTCCCGTTAGTCACACCCCGCGGATGTCAGCCCGATTCGCCACGACAGGGAGCTCCCCTGCGCGGCAGGGGCTGCCGCGGGCCGCCGCGCGGGCAGCCGCCACCACGCGCGCTCTGGTGACGGACGGGTGTCTGCGGGGTGACACATCCACCTCCCGGACAATACTCTACGATTTAAACTGCAACGAAAAGGGGAACAGTTCGCCGTTGCTCTGTCACCCTCGCCGCCACTAACCGCCGCTCTCTCCCTGTTGCAGGATGCCGTGATGGAGGCGCCCCGCCCGCGGGGCCCGGACCCGGAGGGGGACGCGGAGGGTGGTCCCGACGAGCGCCAGCACGTCCCCGATGACGCCGCCGTCTGACACCGCCATGCCGCGCCCCAGCCGCGACTCGTACGGCGACCAGAAGCCGCCCTACTCGTACATCTCGCTGACGGCCATGGCCATCTGGAGCTCGCCGGACAAGATGCTGCCGCTGAGCGAGATCTACCGCTTCATCACCACCCGCTTCCCGTACTACCGCCGGAACACGCAGCGCTGGCAGAACTCGCTGCGGCACAACCTCAGCTTCAACGACTGCTTCATCAAGGTGCCGCGCAGGCCAGACCGGCCGGGCAAAGGCGCCTACTGGACGCTGCACCCCAAGGCCCTGGACATGTTCGAGAACGGCAGCTTCCTGCGGCGGCGCAAGCGCTTCAAGCTGCCCAAGGTGGACAAGGACGCCCTGGAGCGGGAGCTGGCGTCGCTGCAGCAGCAGCGGCCCCTCAGCCCCGCGCCCGTGCACGCCCCGGCAATGTCGCCGCGCCCACCGCGACCCGCCTGCTCGCCCGACCTGGGCGTCAACCTGCGGCTGGGCGCCAGCCCGCACACCAGCCCGCTCACCGAGCCCAGGAAGAACTCTTTCAGCATCGACAGGATCATCGGCGAGCCCGCCACCGCGCCGGCCACGCCGCACCCGGCCGCGGACAGGGCCGCCTTCGAGCACCCGCTGCTGGCCGCGGGCGCGGGGCGCGTCCCCTTCTGCCCGCCGCCTCACCTGGGCCCGCCCCTGTTCCACCCGCACCTGTTCAGCGCGTCACCGCCGCCCGGCTACTTGGTGCACCCCGCGGCCGCCGCCATCTACGCCGCCGCCCTGGCCACCGCCGGGCTGCTCCTGCCGCCGCAGCAGGGCCACTTCGACGACAAGCACGGCCTGCAGGGCCTGCAGAGCCTCCACCAGGGCCTCCAGGGCCTGCACCCGGGCCTCAGCCTGGGCCGCGGCCTCGGACTCGTCAAGCCCCACCCGCTGCTGCCCTTCTCGTTCGGGCCGCTCCGCGCCGCGCCGCCCACCCTCATGCCGCGCGTGCAGGAGCTGCCCGACCTGCCCGAGCCCGCGGCCCGCGAGGACACTCCCCACGTGGACGTGGTGGACGAGTCCTCGTGCTCGTCCTAGGCGGGGGCACGGCATGGCCGGCAGGCTGGCTGGCGGGGCGTCGCCTGAGCGCGGCCCATTGGCCGCCGCGCACCGCGTCGGACGGCCGACCAGGCGATAGCGATAAATGCATTGCAAACATGACAAGCAAATAACGACCACCCATGGTCGTTGGCGACACACATTTTCAGACCATAAATTTGTCGGCCGCACATCAGCCATGTCGCGTGCGTCTCCTCTCCTCGCACGCAGTGTTGCCACATCAAAACGTATTCGGAATGGGCATTACCAACACGACATTACCAACGTGTCATTTGGGAATCAATAAAAATAATTCACTTTCAACTTTTACTCCATCGCTGGCGACTCTCTGCAAGTGCAGCAGATGCTGCCGCGCACCTGTCTGCAGTTTATGTGTCGGACTATGTCTGAAATACTGACGCTGCCAAGTTGGTTACTTGTTGCTTTCTTAACGTATCCCCGATCAGATAGACTGAATATCTCCCTGTGTGCATTCGATACACGTCAAATTGTCAACAACAGACAGTTATACGAATTCTGATAAATATTTTGCTATGTTTTCTTCGTTGCCTATTAAATTCCACCTCTTGCGCTATCAACGCCATTATGAAAAGCTATATGCTACTACTTCGACAGGGGTTGCTCGCTCGCTCGTTCGCCCCTCCCCAGCCCCCTGAGGGATTCGCCTCAGTCCTGCGGTCTATATCGACCGGGGCCCAGCCTTGGCCCGTGGGTCGTCCACTCTCGCCATAGCTTTGAATTTGAATTTAATTCAGGGGAAACTGTGCCTTTTTTATGACGACTTTCATCCTACACAATGGATCTCCACTCCCGCTATTTCCCTGGCATCTCTTTAGACGTCGTGTCACGAGAGTCGTGGCGGGGCGTGGAGGTGGCGGAGTGAAGTGGCTGGCAGCCGCTAGATGAGCATTTATCAAGGGCTTTTGAGTTTCACGGAACGTTGCCCGGCTCGCCTCCAGCTTGTCAGCGGCGAAGGAGGAACTCAATTTCAGGCATGGTTTGTCCCGTGGCGCCTCAAACAGGAAGGTAACGCCAGGTGTGTGCGGAGAGTGCGCCACTCCAATTTGAAAGATTAAGAAATCATCGTTTAAATAGAAACTGGTCTAAAGTTACAGAATTGTCCAAACTTCTGAATAATTTTTTAAAGTTATTATGTGCCGCATGAGGTCTCAGGCCAAAAAATAATTGTTCTCACCTAAGATTTCTTTGCCGGACTCCAGGCAAAGAGTTTCGGTAGGGGTTTGATAGTTCCTCAATCTGTATACGATAAAAACGTTCCCCGGATGGGTAATATGTTCCTTTGTGTTTTATCATAATACATTTTTCCTATTCCATTTTACATTATAGCGTGGAAGATTTGTTCAAGGAAATGTTATACCAAATTATACTTTAGTTTTGTGAAAGTTGTAATGTAATTAATGTATACCATATTACGCTGATTGATCAAAAATTCAATTATCTGTAAAACAGAACTTGTATTTAAATAATGTCGATATAAGGCGTCGGCTAATTAATAATTAAGCTTTTGTGATAACCTGTAAAATTGCATGTGCGAAAAAGTGCATATGGCAGGAGTGCCGGTAAAAGTACTCCTTAGCGATTGAAATCATGTCATTGCGTAATTGATTGGAACAAGTGCTTTGTGACCCTAATATTATACGCGATGAAATCTTCCTATTGTACCATGTTACCTGATAATGGACTTGTAAGATGCTAATTTCAGTGAGGCTGTATTTGTTTTTGTTGTGATTTCTTGTTTGTATTTATTATTTTAACCAGACTGGGTTGTCTGGGTGTTTGTCTCGGTCATGGACTGCGAAATAAAAATCTAAGCAGAAAGTCTCTCTTTAATTGTCAGTATTTTAATTTTACTTTCAACAGCATTTTTTCTCTTTTTTTTTTACTTTTTTCTTTTTTATTTTGTCACCAAAGTCGACGTTGAAATGGCCGGGATAGACCACCTTGGCTGGGCTGGGCGTTGCAGCGCGGAGCAAATGACTTTTTCTCTTTCCCTTTCGGGAGCCTAATCCACCACCACAATCTCCATATCGCGTTCCATCTTGATTTAGACTACACAAATTGCACTGTGGGAGACTTTATGGCCAGAAATCCCTCTTTCCTGGGCAACAGAAAGTGGGTCATCTAAATGACTGCATTCCAAGTGGCTTTTTCGTGAGTTGTGAAAACGGACCCCGGTGTGACTGATGTTGTGACACAATAATTGTTTTCTTTGCCGTCACATTCCCACGCAGCCCAGTTCATAAAGGCATGCTTTCTCCCCCATTGATGACGCCAAAAAAAAAAAGGACTCACCTCGACTTTACATCCGAATAAGTCGAGTTGGAACAGTAGAGAGCTCGAGCCTGCTGCTCAGAATACAGGCGGACAGGTACGAGCACTTAATCCCACCCACAGGCAGAAGAAAGGGGAGAAATAACGGTAAGACAAAGTTCGGCAAAAGTAAAACGGTGGGGAAGTCCGCGAGAAGGGCAGACCGGCAGGTCCAGTCCAGCGCCGGACAGCGCCTGGCGGGTAGGCAACCCATCCTGCTCCCGAGGCGGCGTCAGAGGCTAGCGGCCGGCGGCGGCGGCGGCCACTGGGCACCAGGCGAGCGCAGCGGAGCGCGGCAGAGGGAACTCCCACCGGCCAGCCGGACATATTCCGGCCGAGACATTAGTCCCCCCCACCCTCTCTCGTGCGGTCACGCGGCGCGGAGACGCACACACGCGCGCGCGTCACCGAGCGACGGAATGGCGGCAGCGAAAGAGTTTATGAATTTATATTGAAAGGGAAATAACGCGAGCGCGCGCATGCATTCCGTGTCAGGGCCGCGCTGTTTGATTGAGTCACGCGGCCGGGCTTTATGGGGATCGTAACGCCTTTTTACGTGTGTCTCTCTGATTTCAATTCCACGGCGATCGCATCGACCGAGCCGAGCAGCGATCGCGAAGAGAGAGAGAGAGATGGAGAGAGATGGCTGCAGGTGTCGCAAGCGCCAGGCGCTGCGTGTCCTTCTGCGGCTCCTCTTACTCCCTCTCACGGCTCGCCTCTCCTTGTTTCAGCGCTAAAATAAAACTACCGGACTATGAAGCCGACTGGCCGTGTCGAGCACATCTACAGGGTACTTTGCTCGCCTTTGCCCCCACCCCCTTCTCCAACCTCCATGTGTTTCATTTGGACTACCCCTCTGCTGCTTTAAGATCAGTCAATAACATAATAAAACTAAGAAGAAAACAATAAATCAGCGAGACATGGCGCTAGAGAAAGGGATGTAGGTGAAGGGGAGGGGGAGCAGGGGGGTGAGTATTGACAAGGGCGGCCGCGAGAAAGGCCTTGTTGGGAATTGCTGCTGCATCACGCTCCGCATCCATCAAGGCTCCCCCTCCCCGCCTCCCGCAGTCTCACCCCTCTCACTCGAATACAGGCCAGCCCGCGGAAAGAATGCTCTCCACATTGACAGTCCCGAGAAAAAAAATGTGCGGGTATGAAGAGCAAAGACGGGGCATCAAGGCTACGAGCTTGAGGTCGGGGAGGGCGCGAGAGTTGTGGCAGAGGCAAGGGTTAGCAGCACCCTTCTCTCTCGCACCCACAGCAAACAGGGGGCCGCCTTGTTGCACTCGACCCTCTCGCTCTCGACGGCCGCCACATTTTCGGCAGCGCCGCGCGCAGCCCGGGCCAGGCCCCCAGCGCGCGCCGCACCCCCAACGCTGAGTCGTGCTTCCGCTTCAAAGTTTAGTTTGGCGGGTCGGTTTGGGTCAGGCCCGCCCCTCACCCTTTTGGGCCCGCTGGGGAGTTCGTGCGTGGCGCGGGCCGAGCAGGCCGAGCAGGCCGAGCAGCGCCGCCACCTGCCCCGCGTGCACGCCGCGCACGGCCCGCACGGACCGCCGCCTTCAAGACGCCGCGTGCGAGGGCGCGGCGGGGCGGCGCACCCCTACAACCACCGAAAAGCAGCCCCTCTGCCCCCACCTTCCCCTATGCGCGCATGGCCACTCCAATTTAAACCGAGACTCGCGCCCGGACAGGCGTGGGGAGTGACGGCCGGTGGTGGCAGCCCTCATGAGCCCCAACCGTGTCAGGTCGGACGACTCGATCACACACACACACACACTACTTCAAGAAGAACGATACTTGGTATTAATTTTAAAATACAAAGCGTTTCGCGCCAAAACCCGATGAGAATTTCTTGCTCTCCAAATTGCCCCCGAACCAGCAGCGCACTTTCCCCCGCCCTCGCGGGGGGCGTGGCGGGGGGAGAGAGAGGGGAGAGGGGAGGGCGAGAGGCAGTCATGGCCCGGGCAGGCGAGCAGGCCGATGGACACGCAAACACGAAACATAACCGAATTACTCCTCCAAGGCGGCCCTTTGGGGAGGGCGGCCCAACCAAAGGGCGGCCCAAATAGAGTAAGTGCGGCTCACAGAGTGTGGCCCGCGGCCGACTCCCCCTCAAACTATCCAGTCGAGTCGAGCAGCGCAAACCAACATCAAGTGTGTGGCTGCATCATCCTGTCCTCTGGAGACCGCGCCAGCTGTCCAATTACGTTTTTTGAAGCCGCGATAGGCAGTGACACACACACACACACACACACACACACACACACACACACACTCAAACACACAGACAGACACGCACACAAACACGGGGCGCAATTACAAACGCACCGCCCTCTAATCGCGCCGGCCCGTCCGACGTGTCAATCCCGCTGCTCGCGTTTCAATTTCCCTATCTGCTCTGGATTTACAAGGCCGTAATGGCGGCGGCCGCCTGCTCCTCCTCGCCCGGGGCGCAATTACCTCCTCATGATGCGCGGGAGGGGCCGCGTCGGGCCGGCGCCGTCGTGGACATCGCGCGCCAGGAACTGCCAGGTGTTGACGGCCCCCGTCGGGACGATCAGGGCGACGCGGGCGACCGCGGGCCGGGATCATCGGGGAAGAGGGTTACGTCAGGTCAGATGTCGCCCGCGCCCCGCAGCCACCACCTCCGCCGGGGCGACGGGGAGGACGGGGCGAGCGGTGGCGAGCAAGGGGTGCGCGGGGGGAGGGTCCGCGTCGGGCCGCCGATGGGGACATCGCGCGCCAGCAGGTCCTGCCTGGTGTTGACGACGGCCTCCGTCAAGACGAGAAGGGCGACGGGGGCGAGCGTCATTGCCGGCATCATTGCATCGGGGGGAGAAGGTTATGCCGCCCGCGCCCCGCCACCACCTCGACGGGGGCTCGGGGGGAGCAGGAGGGGACGGGCGTGCCGCGGGGCAGCGGGCGGGGGCAGAAGGTGACGTCGGCCCCTCCCCGCCGCGCCCCGCCTGCCCAGCGGCGGTCATAAACCCAACACCTACTGCGGCGTGGCCGTGGCGCGGCTGGCGCGGCGGTGAGCGGAGCGGCCCCCGGGGCCCTCGAGGAACTCTTTAAGAATCTCATTAAACAACAGATGGGGTGGGCCCTAGGCGCCGGGGCGGGCGCGCACACAAAGTCAACCAAACCCTTTTCCTTCTATTCAATTGGAAATCGCTCATTTATTTTTATGTGACGTGTGGCCGAGGCCCATTGAAGGTCCGAGCTGTTTCCAGCTGGCGGGGAGGGGAGGGGAGGGTTTGTCACTGCCTGAGTTATTCGGCCCAGGGTGATATCTCAGTCCCTGACTGCATTCCACTCGTCGGGACGCGGCTCGCGCTGGACTCGTGCGGGGGCTGCGAGGGCTGGGAGTGTTCTCAGCCAGTGGCCAGAGGGAGGAGCGTATGAACCAGAAGACCACATCATTAGATCTCCTCAGACTTTGTATTCTAGCCAGAACTTCATCTGGCACACGCGCAGGAAAAACTGTGTCAGCACAACCTTAGTTCCAAAACAGTTCAGGACATTAATTAAGTTTAGAAGTTTGGAACGCCCAACTTTTCTATGGCATGCAAAAGTTTCTAAGCTTCTTACGTAAAACTAGTGGATCATAAAATGTTTGACACAGTATGTTATAAATTAGTCGTTCCTTGAAGTTCTTACTATTGTTATTATCATTACAATATAAGTTGAAGGCAAGTTAAAGATTCATTGTTTTTTCTTTAAGGGGAGAGGGGAGAAATTAACTGTTTGATTCTTTACCAAATAGAATGATGCAAACTTTACCTTTTCTACGCCGACGAGATCGCTTGTGCTTGATGGAAGAAGCTTTCTTGTGTTGAGGTCGCTCATTCTTGAGCGGCTGGTAGATTTGTGCCTTGGTCATGACGCACTGATTTGAATGAAATTAATAACCTCAAAGGTAAGAGAGAGCCGATCGCAAAGCCAAACTTTTAATACTTTGAAGGTAAAAACAATGCGCGCATTACAAGCAAAGCGTTTTCAGGATAAAACTACAACGAATGCGAAAGTATAAATTTTTCTGCAAAACACGCTTGTGAAATAACTTATTTTGGCGGATTTGACATTGACATGCAAGGAAGTGAAGAGCAGGAAGGAAGCGCTGGTGCCGCTGGTGCTCTATTCGCAGTCCTGCTCTGCCTCCAGATAGGCGTTCCGTTGCCTGCGAATAAGCAGTTCTTCCGGTTACCGACCGTTGTGACCGGGATGCCGTTTCTCCCATGTAATTGCGTTTAAATTCAAAGTATCCGTGCTAAATTCTCGTTTGTTTACGTCGTCCATGCGAAATTACTGTCCATATAGTTTAAGCTGGATATTTTTGGCCTTGAGTGTTAGAGAAAAGAGATGAGCAGCCATAAGCTATCCAATGCTGGGTGATTGCAACTTTGAGGTTAGCCGTTCAAAGGGGTAACTCAGTCATTGGCTAATCATGAGCATGGACGATGAAGTGAATTGTGGTGAGTAATTTGTTATAAAACTTGGCATGAGGCCTGCAATTACCTTTGTCGTTTCATTCACCCCTGGATGCTCACGTTACTGTACAACTTGTGTCGTGCAAGGGTTTGGCGTTCCCTGTGCAGGTGGCCGGTGGCCGGGCCTGGCCGGGCCTCAGCAGCCCCAACGCCCGCCCCAGCTCGTCGGGCTGTCATCGCGTGCGCGGGGACGTGTGGGGCGGCGATACTCATCGCCACTGTCAGCGTCGTTGTCGTCCTCACGTGTCCCTTTATGCTTCCCCAGGACGAGCCGACCAACCATTTGTGCAGCCTTTCCTCGGCATCACGCCCCCCCAGAGGCACGTCGGTGATCCCTTAACCTCAAAGACGGCCTCCCCTACGGTTGCCTCGAGGACATAGCATTTCCAGGTTGCCGACATCCCCGTGGTGGCGGTGACATCCAGGCCAGCAGAACATGGACTTCCCCGAGGTACGTACTCGAGTGTCCGAACCCCGTCACAAAATTCGAGTCACATTCGCTGACACGACTTAACGATTTTCAGTGAGCGAGTCACCCCCGGGTCCAGACGGCTTCTCGACCGCGACCTTCACCTCCAGGATCGAAGACAGGCGTAAGGCACCTCCATTATAGACTCTTTATGACGTCCTCCAGTTCCAGGTCAGTCTTCA